TTTGCTCCACTGCACAACTTTTCAAATATTTAACAATTTCGTACACCCCACTGAAATAAATAATTGTGGATAGTTGGAAGAATGTCAAAAGAATTTCTACCAAAGTACAAATTACCAAACTATCTAAAAGGTCACAAAACGGGTAGACATTCGAAATGAATAACAATTTATCATTATTTATTTCAAAATATCAATGCTTATTTGAAATTCAAATTCGTGAACAACCAAATATATAACAAGAAATTGTGGAGATAAAAATGAGGTCTTTGTATTCGATAACTCAAGGTTATATTTTTAAATTACCCCATTGTATTTTCCGCTTGTGAATTGAATATTAAAAAAAATATGAGTTATTGGAAGAAAATTACTATTATATCAACTAAAGCATCTTTTGATTTACTGATCCCAACACCATCTCCAATTACTGAAAATTTGAAGTTGCTTGATTTTTTTGATTCAATAAAGCTTAGAGGTTAATTTATCTTTTAGAGAGAACTAAGACGTGAAGGATGAATTGTAAACCAAGCGCTCTGTATAAAGTGCATTTGATTATATCTCCGGATTAATATATTGATTTTACACTAATTGATTTTTCGTTTTATGGGTGAGCAAAGTTGGAGCAAGATTTACCTTGTGCGAAAAGCAGAAAAACAATCAAGTCTGATCTTAAATAATAGGAAGATTCGCAGACAATGTCCCATGGTCTACCAATAAACATGTGTACTGATGTTTGCAGCTTGTAAAACATAAAATATTGTGTTAAGAAAAAACGAAATACTTATTTTAATATTTTTACATGAAAGAATGCTTGTCAAAATGAAAAAAAATGAATAACACGTTTCAAAGGGCTTAAAATTTGTAATTTAGAAAAAAATATAGAATATCTTGCTATTTATAGCAGAATAATGTATCAAGTTTTGCGAAAAAGTGATCAGTTGAATAATAAAATTCAAAATAACTCCCAAAATTAATTGTCCAGATTGTTGTTTTGTTTGATTAATGTTAGGATGAAATTCGAGCAACTTAATGATATGAAGCTAGTGTTGATGATACGTTTAGTATAAATAATTGAACGCACTTTAGTGTCCAATGCATTTAGATGAGAGGAAGAGAAAGAGATTTTTCGAGTCTTTATGATTGTATTTTATTCGTGTTGACATTATCTTCCCCCTTTGAGTAGTTATTTTTAGATCTAATGATCATATTAGTTGGTTTATCATCTCCTCTATTCGTAGAGAGAAGGTCAACTTGATATAGTTGTATGAAATTATGGATTCAGTGGAGAAAGGGATAATGAGTATTGTTGAATATACAAAACATTTTCTAATGGGGAGATAATTTATTATTGATTCACGTTTACCTACCGAAAATATAATTAAATCGATTGGTTTAATGAATATAAAACACACATGCATTATCAGAATTTAAATATATTCAATACAAAAAAATTTACTTATTTTTAAGCGTACTACACATGATGTACTAATACTTGCGGTTAACGATGCATTCGTTTGCTTAAATATATAATTATCTAAAATTGCATTTCATGATTTTAGCCTAAATTAAGTATTACATTCATGTGACAGTAAAAAACCAATGAGAAAGCGCTAAAAACAGGCAAACCATTGTGTTACTTAAATGTGCTTAAAGAAAAAAAGACGAATTAAAGCTGAAGAACTCATGATCATGATCGAGAATCCGCCATTTATCATGTAATGACACGCGTTTGTTGCAATATATGCAAGCCCATCCAGGTTAATGAGAGTGAGCTTCCCATTTGGTAAGTGGGATATAAACCGATTCTCAAAATCAGCAGAATTACGACTACTGGAGAAGGTAACGTTGATCTCAAAATGCCTTGATCCACCTTTTGGACTTTCTAACCACTATCACCTGCTTCTCCCCCTCCCCCCCTCCCCCCTCCCTCCTCCCCCAACCCACCCCCAGAATAGAACCTTGTACTTTGTAATAATGTAAGTAATAACTAACAAGCTTATTAAATGCAAGATCCATCATTTTCTTCATTCATTTGTAATGGAATGCCTCCTTGTGGAATTTCCCGTAAACCTGATAACCGCTAGCACCACCTTAGGAAGGGCTCAAAGTGGGTCAATCTATTTTAATCGTATAGTGGCATATTTTTTCCCCATATATTTTTGATTATTTTGAAATTAAATTGCCAAAATCAATGTTTAAATTGTGATAATGTTTCTTCCATGAAAAATAGGTTATCTCTACTTGCAATATATAACCGAATTAATTTTGATTTCCAGACACAAATATGGGTGGTTAAAATTACGCAATTAAAAAATTTTGAGCAATTCATTCTTTTCTTTCTCATACACCAAATTGCAGTTCTTGATAAATTTACCTAGGAGTCAATTGATGACTTCAAAGGAATTTAATTGCAAATACAAAACAGCTGCAGGTATATGAATGAGATTAGCGCATTCCTATCACTATTCTATTTGGTAATTCAAGATGAAGTTAATCGTACATGATAAAGATGGTTATAATCTCAGGCAGTAATATATGAAGTAGCATTTTTTGGTTCAGATCTGAGATAACTTTTAAAATCTCTAACTCAAATTTCTAAATCGTTAATTTATTAGCAATAAAGTAGGTTATGATATTATTAAATTGTATAAACTGTGGTGAATAATTGTAAAACTTAAACTTAAAGCTTAAACTTTCTATAGAGCTTTCTTATTAATTAATAAAAATGCAGTGCTGCAAAATTCGGATAAATTAAGGAGATTGCTCTACAAAATTTCAGAGATATACCATTTTCTGCATTTCGGCCATGTGAATTTCGTGAAACTTCTTTAATGGAGGCCCTTACTCTCCTCTACTATAAACAGCCTTGAACCCGGAAACACACATCTTTACAGTCCACGTTTGAGTTCAGAATCACCCAATGCCTTTGTTGCAAACCAAAATACATGCTTAGCACGACAATGAAAAACTTAACTCACAGTTTCTAGAATAGAGTTCCAATCGGTTTAAGGAACTGTTTCAATGAAATTCAAATTGTAATATAAATGAAGTGCTTAGATTTCATATTTTAAAAAAGGTCGCTTATTGAAGGATCTATTTCATTTTAGGTTTTGCTACTATTTTCAAATGCAAAAGATGTAATCTTAATGTTAATCAATTCCCCTAATATTTCAAATTCGTGTTGTATTAATGAAGATCAATACCAACTCACTTTGAAACTGCTGGCTCAATTCGCATTGCGCTAATTAGTGTGTCCCAATCCAATGTCTGACCATTTTAAATTATAATTAATGGTGCATTTTAATTGACCTGAACATCTAACGAAACATAGCATCTGTTAAAGGTCTCGTTTTTTTCCTAGAAATTATCATGCTTGTTAGGTAAATTGATCTCGATCGAAGTACGACGTTTTAATGAAATTTCTAGAGTTCCATTGAAATTATATGTGTTTAAATTTATTTGCCATGTAAAGTAAATTGCATCTATCATGAGAAATGTCTTAAATGCATCAAAGGCAGTACTGGTAAAAGTCAAAATGAATTTTTGAAAAGGTACGCGTTGGATAATCAGACATGAAGTTTGTACCACTGAGGGGCAATATTGATTAACGATATCGTGATAGACGTGCACATAGAACGACATTCACATCCATGTCAACGCCTTCTATTCACACAAAAAGCCGTATCACAGATGCAATCGAAATGTAACTGCTTTAATAAAATATTCATAAAAGGGATTATAACTATGAAATTGGTGATTTCAATCTTGTGGTAGAAAAAATCTACAGAGCCTTAGTTGTTTTTTTGGAACTTCTAACCTAAATCCTGGACATTGTTTAGACTCTTTTGATGAAGTCTAACTTTAGGGGGTGAATGAATAAAGTTATTTAGAAAAAATTATTACTCAAATGTGTCAATGCCCATTTCTTTATTGACGCCAAATTTGCGTAAAAACCGAGGAAATCGTGCATCTGAGATACTGAGTTTGAAAGACTGGTTAGGGCCATCTCTTACTTTTCAGGATTTACAAGGACTTTGAAGTTTACAATTTAAAGAGATTTTTACACCTTTCTACCTATTTTTATTATAACTCATTTTCCCATATTTCGTTCATCGAATAACTTATCTTGTATGTAAATGATTGTTAATTATGGAATTTGTTATTAGTTAATAAAGATCGGGGACATATCTTCAGTTCAATTTCTAATTAAATTAACGAAAGCAATCATAAGATATCCGCATTAATTATTGTTTAATTAATTTAAATATATTTCTGAAATTTTCAAAGAATATCCCTCCCCCCCCCCTCCGCCCCCTCGATCCCTATGGGATCGGCTGCAGTTCATTTTGAACAACTTTGCCAAACCTGTTCAGCTCATTCGCCATCTTTTTAAGAAATTAATTGAATTGAAAAATTATTAAAATAAATTTGAAATTCAACAAATTCTATTGCACTCTTGTTTTCTTGATTAGAAAATGAGATTAAAACATTGGTTTCCATCTAATTTCATGCAACAGTAATAATGCAATAATAGTCATATCGCCACACGCATATAGGTGACTTCAGTCAAGTGGCTTTTATTCGCATTTTAGACATTAAAACAGCGCTCAAGTTATATTTTATAAGGCAACTAACAAAAAATGATGCTTTTCCAACGGGTGACAAGATTCGCTTCTAGTCTAGAAAAAAAGGCTTTGCTGACATTCATGTTGGAGTGTATGTGCGAGTCAAAAAATGAAATGCTAGATTCAGTGGTTGAACTACTTTTTCTATAATACTGTCTCCCTCGTTCCATATGCATATAGATATATAGTTTTTGTTCCAAATACAAACACACTCGCACCCGCACCCACGTAGCTAGGCTAAAAAGAATTCAACTATTAAAGGAGCATAAAATTTGTTATTTTAGAACAACACTGGAGAAGATACGATGCCTAACCACAGTACTACAGCAGAATTGCACGCAAAATGCCATCAAATTAATTCAAAATTACTTTCGAGAAATGCTACCTCCACACTGTCACTACACAGCCAACTTTGAGGCGAACAAACGTGGAAATCGAGGTGATGGAACACTTGCCTCGAAAGACGTAGAACGGGCATCCTCAGCATCTCTCACACAGGGCTCAGACCAGGCTCACCTGCTTAACGACGCCAATCATATCGAAACCCCAAACACGTTTATTATGGGAGCACCTACTTCTGCCAATAATTTCCCCACTTCTTCCATCTTTTGCACTGCTCTTGCTCTCCTTGTTCTGACTCTCAATCTACTCGCGTGGTGAACGATTAAACTATGGAAAATTAAGCTTTCTATGTTGATTGTAAATAGATTAAAAACCAAAACAGAGAAAGAAATATACACACCTAAAACTACATTTGTACAATTAACCGCTTTAACGTATAATTGTGTTGGAAATAATAGATAATCAAAGACACGGCATTCTCACCTCTAGAGTTACGAAGCAATTAGCCAGCTTACGTGGACTGATGATGTTTAGGAAGTGACTTCAAGGCCCAAACATTTTGTCTGTGAAGAGCGCTTCCTCTACCACTTGTTGTCTCCAAGTCTTATGTCTGTTCAGTTAGTGTACCTTTTGCAAGCTAATCTTGATCTGGACAAAAATACAGCCTGTCTGACTGTGTGTTGGCCTTCAAAGAACAATTGGAATGATCTGACTTTCATTTTCATAGATTGGAACAAGGAGAGTGGAGAGATCAGTTTTTTTGAAGCGTCTCTCCAACTTAGCCTTATGCGATGACTGAATTTGTTAAGTCACCACTGAAAAGTATTATTTAATGAACAAAGTCCTTTTTCGCACTAAAAATCAACAGTTTCATAAATCAGTATGATCCATATGATATATATATATAGTACTTTGGCGAAAACCACTTACTCTATGCGTTATAATAAGAAATATAATACTTTCAAAATTATTGGATTTTCTCAATTTCTTATCTGCTTCTGATCATTTCAGACATTAAGCCTGAAGCCGTTAATATCTAAAAGGACTCATATTTATGAAAATTTAACCAAATGGGGGAGACTTCAAATATGTCTTGGGAATAGCATTGCCTTAATATCCTAAATAACAGCCAAATCTTGTTGTTTTTGAAATTATTCCGTCACCGATTTCAAATTATGCGTTTATTGATTTTGATGGGATTTCTTTAAAATAAACAACTTTAGATCAGCTGATTCTTTTAAGGGATTTGTGGATATTGCAAAGAGGAAATATGATTGGGCCGAATCAAACCATATTTCGCTTTGACGAAATAAACTTTCAATGTGACGTTTTCGTTCAATTATTATTGAAGCATAGCACCTATCCCTTAATTTTTTCTTTAAACTAATAGGAATTTCGACATAATCTACTCACTTCCAGTTAAATTTTAAGAATATTTCGCTATAGCCGCTAGAACACGTATTTCCCCTCCTCACTGAACTGATATATGGACATATGATGCAAAATGCATGCTTGTTTATAAATCACCTCTGAGTATCAAAGAGGTAAAATGGATAGTAAAAGAATACTACAGTAAGCTTCTATTTGATAACGTTTTTATGCATTCCTGTGGTGATTTGAAGTCTAAAATGCTTTGTCGACTTAATCAAATTTACTCTAGCGTTATCCATATTAAACTAATATTAAATGAAGTTTCTGTTCCTATTTACCATCGACTTTTTTATCTAATTCCTGTCTGCGTGATTGTGACTGTTTGCAGCTCTCGTCGTGTTTATATTCCTCTTCAGTAACAGAATCGTTTTTTCCTATTCAATGCATTTTACTGGTGCCATACCATTCTCTGATTCCCTGTTCCACTGGCTTGGGCTCTGTACAAATCCTCATATAACCACTATCAACGTTACAACTTGTCTATTTCTAAGTATTACGCTTACATTACAACGACCTTGATATCAGATATACTCCACCGCGGAACCATCAGAATATTAGTCTTATCTTACTATCACTACCACAGTAGCAGTAAATGTCAAGCGATTTTTAATACCTCATCTGTCTCCGAATATCACACTCTAAGAGAGTAAACTAGCAGTAAAATGAATAGAGTAAAATACAAAGAGAAGGACTGTTTTTGGTAAGTCAAATAAAAATATAATTTATTCGGTTAAGGACTGGAGGTATCCGATTGAATTAATTTTTTCAAATATTAACTTATATAACAATGAATTTTCTCATCATTCCAATATGACAAAATCCGTGGAACATTAGATATTAGGAAGTGGAAGACTAGAAAGGTAAAAATAGATTAAAACGTACATTTCTTGCTGTAGAAAAATCTGTATTATTAATTTGGACATGTTCATGAAATTATCTTGTTCATCGCTCTTCTTGCTTTTCTATCATGGCAGAGATGCAGCTTAAATCAATCACCTTGCCAACTACTAAATAGAATTCTGAACAAATTGTTTGTCCTACGCTACTTATAAATATACCCGTGTCGTTTTCAGCCGTGATTTTTGGTAAATTTATCTAATCGAAGATGGAGAAATACGAATAAATACTGAAATTGCATAAAACAGCCAACTAAAGTAGCAAACTTCTCCAGTGAAATAAATAATGCCTTATTCATGACATACGTAACAATTTAATAAATGGGCAAAATTTAATCAAAAACTAATTGTGGCGACGATTGAAATTGATGAAGTAAATACAATTTTATTAGTTTTATTCCAACAGGATAGCACTTTTGGAGGTAAGAGATACACTAAATACAAAACAATTTGATATGAGAGATCGGAGGACTTGGAGCTAGAATTATAGATGGAGAGAAAAAATTTTCCTCGGTATTCTGTGTTGTAGGTTGAGGGGTTGGTAACTCGAACAACGCACTGATTCATTACATGACTCCGTGGGAAACGGGGAGCTGTTTGAATTATTATAAAATTAAATTTAATAAACATGAGTTGGATCTAAATCAGTAGTAGTGAGACATCATTTCTAACTTTTATGCAAATGCGTATTCTTAAAGAGTTGTCTAAACCACAAAAAATTATAAACATAATAGAAAATGCCTTTGTTAATTTAAATATTTCTAAACGCAACTCGTCATTGTTTCAGTAAAATATAATGACTAAAGTCAATAAGGAGTTATGCAATCCAAAGCTTTGTCCTTTTAATTTACCTGATGATGTAAAATACCTCAATGACATGGAAATCTCTGTTAAAATATTTTATTTGAAAATAACACCACCTTTAGGCCGTTGAAGGAAAGGACTGATACAAAGTCGACCTAGACGTTTTTAAATGTATAGAGAGTGCAATATCGATTTTGTGTCACAAATATGCCTCTATAGCACTGCACCAACCTGAAATCTTCACATCGTTCGTAGGTCGTGTACTACCATATTGCATTTGAAGACCATATGTTGACTGGCACATTCTACACACTTTACAAACGTGCAATTTAATAAAAAATACAAGATATAATTAATAGAAAGTTAACTGAAAGTCTTAGTAGGTCTCGTGAAATTAAGGGACTCCGTCTTACCTCACAATAAGGACCAAATGAAAACTAAGATAAGAAAGACTCTTGGATTTTCTAGAAATGATTAAAAAAATACTCCGTAAACATTCTATTTCAAAACCCCACTCCACTAGTTTGCAGAGAGAGAGAAATGAAAACCTGTCTAAAGCATCGCTTAACTTAGCAGCTGAAAGCTTTTAAAAGTAAACTCTCAACTTTTCTTTTTATTTTTGCAATCCCAACTACAGTCCTCTTATCTATCGCAATCAAGGCGAAACTCTGTGTGTGCTTAAAGAACCAGAGAGAAAATGAATCGTTGACTGTTTAAATTTTAATAGAAATTAAAAGACCTATTTGCGATTTTCGCAGTCAAAATGTTGAGCCTAGTATAAATACGAATTCGATATTTTACATTAAAAAATTTCATCCCTCTCTCTCTCTTTCTTCTTGACTATGAATATCTGTCGGGAGTTGTTTTGAGCGATATACTTGGTGCTATCTACGAAAACCATTGATAATTCTGTTATCGTAGGGGTGAAATACTTGCTCCTATGATTAGAAATCTGAATTGCGTAAAAAGAGAAAAGAAGGCAAAGAGGGTCTTTTCTGAGTTAAAAATAGAGAGGCTTCAACTTTTTTGACAGTAGCATGTCAACAGTTGAAAAAAAGTCTGCTATTGTTCGACAACTCGAGGTGCTGATAAACGATCTAACCACAGATCGTCAATTGTATTATTCAAAGACCTTTTGGGCCAATAGCCTAAACTTAAGATCTATGAACATCCACGAATATATATATATATATATATGATATACATAGATATTTGGAAAAAAATGGAAAGGGACACTAATTTAGTCATTAGTGAATGTTTTTTTTGCTCTCTTTCTCCTGTCGAATTTCCTCCTTCTTCCCCCACCCCCTCCCTCCCCCTCCCCAGGATGGGCTGTCAAGTATTCACACTGACAGCTGGTAATGTATGTAGAATGCCTCAAAGTGGAGTCGGGAGGGAAAGCGAGGCGAGAATTGATCGCATTACAATGGCTAGATACGGCAGTCATTATAGAAATTGGCATAACATCCTTTGACCATTTATCAGTTACACCTTAATTGGGACCGAGGGGGAGGGGGTGGGGGTGGAGAAGAGCTAGGTCGATGTCGAAAAGCAGCACTCTATCGTTCAAAGAATTTGAGAACTTGTAATTTATTCACACGTGGTACGCTCTTTTAGTTTCATTGCCTTTACAGTTACCAATGAGCCCTTACTATTGGTCAATTTCATTAGATAAGTCAGCAAGGTCACTGAAGACTTGCACTCAAGAAACATTTCATTTTCTAAACCACTCGATGAAAATTGAAAATGATGAATGTAAGACTGATCAGTCTTGATTAAAGACTAGAGATCAGCAAAGCAATGAATTCTACAAACAAGCATTTGAGTGAAGTACTACTGAAGCCTGGACTTTGGAACGTAGACTTCCAATTTAGTAAAAAATTATACAAAAACTCCACTCTAGTGATCAATTTATAGTTGGACTCCGCTCACGTCCTCATAATTTGTTAAACATGTTGACGTTCGATATCATTGGCACCATATAACAAAAAAAACAATGTTTTTTCCAATACTAGAACAATAAAAGTAACACTATAATGTCTATTTGTTGAAATGATAATAGGTGACCCGACCTCACCGAGTTTTCTCTGTGTCGATAGGTAGTAGTTAAATTGCATGCAGTTCAAATATTTTGAAGCTGAGAAATAAATAGTTTTGAAATCAGGCAGTATGAAGGCCATGTATATT